CTTTCTGTGCGAATCAACCTACCAATATGACTCGATAGCTTAGCATACGGAGACCAAAGTCATGGATTATCTAAAGTACAACCATACTGAAAAAGTTCAATTTCCTTACAGCAGCTTGATCTTGCTCCTGCCTTGAGACACCAAAGCGTTGGGCTACATTTTCAGAAGTAACACCCATAGGAAGAAGACAATTCTGTGCTTGTACAAACTGCTTCACCTGCAATAACATAATATGTGTTTTATAGCGCGCTGTAAACTTAACAGATCCAGTCAAGACTCCAGAGAAGAGAAAATTAAGAGACAGTACCGCTGGATTGACTGACCCTTCCCATGCCATTGGATTAGTAGTCATTGACTCCAACCCAGCCCCGATACCTGCATCCAACATGTTTGTCAGCTCAGTTCTTCATGAACACAAAGACATCAAATGTAATCGAAAGACAAATTCTTCTCTAACCGATGTCATAAAATCCTGCTTTTATGGCAGCGGCTACATCAGCAACAGCCTGAAGCCCAGACGAGCACTGTCTATTCACGGTTCTGACAGCCACGGTTTCTGCCAAATGAAATAACAGTATGAGCTTACAGAAAACAGAAACAAAGATTTGCATCTCAGTACAAAGAACAAACATCATACCAGGGAAACCAGCATAGAACGCAGACATCCTGCATTCACTGGCTCTCTGAGATCCCGGTGCCAAAACAGTACCCACAACAATGTCCCCAACTTCACTTGGGTTTATATTTGTCTTCTCTATCAATGCCTGTGCCACGAAGATACAATATATATAAGCTAGAGGTAGGAAAAGAAAGAGAAAAAAAGCAACAAAATAGAAAAGAGAGTGAACAGACCCTCAAAACTGGAGCAAGAAGATCATCAGGATATGTATCCTTGAAGTTGCCACGTTTCGACTTGCATAATGCAGTCCTATGTGCCCTGTGACGGATCAAAAAGGCGCGATTTTTTCACAAGAATCCTACAAACACACTCACAAGTTCGTGAAAGAAACCCATA